ACACCTTTTCGATGAGACGGGCGCTTAGGGGACTGGGGCGAGATTTGGGGTGTAAGCTGTTTGACGGGTGAAGGTTCTTTCTTGCGTTGGGTACGGCACAGTGTAAAGATCTGTTTGATTTCGCTAACTTGCCTCACGCTAGATTATCGTTTGTGGTCTGTTATCTGAGGAACAGTTTTTTAAAAGCTACCAAAAGTACTTGGCTCTGCCAGACCATAAACTGCGATTGAATTTGACATTTTATCATAAAACAGAAACGGCCTAACTCATCGCGATGGTGAATGGAAATTGTGCGGTTGTTGGCTGTACAAGTAGCAACTACCAGTTGAAGAAATGGAAAAAGCAAACTTGCGATATACACAAGGAAACACTTAATGAACAATGTCCCTGCCCCCAGCCTTTTACTTTGCACCGATTTCCAAGTGTGTTGTTAAATTCTGATCAACGAAAGATTTGGGTGCAGGCAATGAACCGCGTATCGAAAAAGTTTACTCCATGGGCTCCCGGACAGAGTGACATGGTGTGCTCTAAGCACTTTGTTGATGGTCATCCCACTCTTGAAAACCCAAATCCGACTTTGCATCTTGGTTACGAGAGGCCAATAAAGAAAGCAGAAAGGACTTTAATCCAACATCTTCCTGAACCCTTTCCATCTAGAGATGACGAGTCAACAATGCATATGTTCAGAACATGTTGCTGCATGTGATAGATGTGATGACAAAGATATTGTCATTGAACAGCTCACAAACGAGGTCAAATCTCTGATGGCTCAGAAGAATTTTTGCTAGCTGAAAATGTTAAATTGTCAGAACATAAAGATAAGCTAAGGCAGTTTACCTTTAAGGACATCAAGAGCGACGCAAAAATAAAATTCTACACTGGAATCCAAACAATTCAAATTTTTCAGGTATTGTTTCATTTGATAAAGCCTTGCTTACCAAAAATACATTACTGGAGAGGTAAAAAGAGAGTGGTGTCAACAAATAGCAAGAACACATGTAACCGCTCACTTAAAGTAAGTGGTAGGGATCAGTTTTTGTTGACATTAATGCGTCTCAGACTTGGCTTGATGTTTGAAGACCTTGCCGACAGGTTTTGTATTTCTGTGAGCACATGCTCAAATATATTCACAACATGGATCAAACTTCTTAGCAACCTCCTTGGAGATGCCTTACTTGTATGGTTACCAAGAGATGTCATCCAGTCCAACTTACCTGAGATGTTCAAAGAACATTATAAAAATACCCGATGCATTGTTGATTGTACTGAAGTTTTTATTGAGACCAAAAAGTCTTGATGCCCAGGCTAAAACATGGTCTGACTATAAGCAGCACAATACAATTAAATTTTTAATTGGTATTTCTCCAAATGGTTTTATAATGTTTGTCTCTGCATGTTATGGAGGACGAGCAGCAGATCGGTTCATCTGCAGAGACAGCAATTTGTATAAGTTGTTGGAATATGGAGATGAGATAATGGCTGACAGAGGGTTCCAAATACAAGAAGACCTCTTACACCATTTCTGCAAGTTAACAGTGCCACCTGGAGCAAGGGGAAAATCTCAAATAACCAGCAGTGAGTGCAAAAAAACTAAACAGGTTGCCAACCTCCGTATCCATGTAGAGAGGGCCATCAACAGGATTAAAGAATTTAAAATTTTAAAGAACACTGTTGCCATAAATATGGTTCCCTTGGCAGATGATATTATTAGGACATGTGCAGCACTGTGCAACATTCAGACACACTTAATTAAACCATCACAATGTTAATTTGTGTTTACTTGTTTATAATAGTTTTATTTTTGTGAACCTATTACCTTGTTTCTTCTCAAGATATCATCTTAGCAGCTACCTTGTTACACCACCATTGTATTTGTGGTCAATTCTCAAGCTTTCTATCAGATAGATTTTGAAACTTGCTTTCTACCTAGGTTTCTCATTATAATACTGTTTGTAGCCATGCAGTAGTGCCTTATGAAGTCACTGGCAATGACACCTGTAAAATCTTTGTGTATATATAAAAAATGCTGTTGTGATTGCCCAATTAATGATACAAAAAATAATTTCCTATTTTTACTCTGAAAAATTCTGGCTGTCATACAGCAGAAGGGGTCAGATTTATTTTAGACTTCTATTATAGTTCTTAGATTATGCCTAAATAGGGAGAAGGGGTGAGAATATTCATTTTGGCATAAATTTTATGTTTACTTATTTTTATTTATTTTTATGTATATTTGATCAAAAGCTTGATGTTGGCTATATCTGTTGGGTGTCCCCATTTTCAAATTTAAGCTTTTCATGATGGTAGACTGAATGTGTTGTGCAACAATTTCTTATGAGTCCAAAGTCAGTAATCAATTAGAATTTTGGATTTGCATGTGATGAAATCCAAAATACTTGGGCCTTTTTATCATTTTACAACATTAATTATTTTGATTCAAAAATGTTGTTCAAGAATTGTTGCAAAAGTCAAACATTTATTTATTCACCTGCCTAAAAAATTTTCAAATTTCAACAACTTGTTTTCCACTTTTAATTTCCCTGCTCAGGTTAACTTTAAAAATTCATACCAACAATGGACCAATTTTTTATTTCTCTCAAAAGTTCAAATTGAACACAAGGAAATTCAACTTTGGGAATTTTTGTGATATTTAAGTTTGAAAACATTATTGTGAGACTAGCATTACAGTGAAGCCAAACCATATCAGAGTAATTGTTGACAGAGAGAACAAATCTGTGATCTTCAAATTTATATTAGAAGCTAATTATAAATAATGATCTTAAAAAAAGCTTCAGCTTTGTATTTGAAACAAAGAGCTAATATAAACATTTTTATAGAATTTTTTTACTTTATCAGCTACATTTGTCCAGTCTTGAACATCAAAAATTAATTTCTGAATGAAATGCCCATAAGCTGACCACACAAAGAAGTACCCTTGGTGAATACCAGTGACTCCCATCTTTTGTTCAAAACCTTCACAGCTCCTTCTTTCTTCAAGTAGGAAAGACTGATGTCAGGATCCATCGGGGAAGTGTATGCTATGGATGATGGGCATTTGACTTCCAGGATAAACACCCCGCAACAGCTACAAGAGACAATTCTGTCTGGACTACAGCCAATAAACGGTAGCTCTTTAAACAAAAACTATCCACACTCTCTGATTTGTACATCTTGATGGTGTGTTAAATATTCATGGTAGAATTTCTGAACAGCTTCTGCTTCCATGCTGTTACCATACTTTATAGCAGGAATGTTTTTAAGGAGTTCTGACTTTCCAGCCACACATTTAGTAACTGCATCAAAATTTGTATCAGCAAATCCTTTGCTCTCTGCTGTTTCAAACCTTGTTTTCACACTGTGTGCCTTTGATGCTGTGATGACATGTTGACGGAATGCCAACCAAAGAGGGTTATTGGACTGACCTCTGGTGACTCTCTATTTCTGCAATTTGATCCTCATCAATCCCCAAAATGAAATTGAGGAACTCATCTCCAGTGGATGATGCAAGGAAAAGCTCATTGATTGTCTTAACAGGCAATTTCATTTGACAATCTTGACTTTTGTTCACATGAGGCTTAGCCAATGCAGTAAAGATTATGTTTTCTTCTTCTTTGCATACATCTTTAAGTGCCATGGCAATATCTTGAAGTGAAAGCTTGTGATTGGTGCTGCTTAGAGGGTTAAACTTTGGCGAGGTATTTATTTCCTCTGTCTTTTTTTTTCTACGCCCAAAATCATTTTTTCCTAATTTAAGGTCTCTCACTTTTGAGGGTTCCGCTGCTTTTGTGTTGGGTAGCCATTCACATGTCTTTGATGTGCAGCATGGATTGTTCAACCCCAATCGACAAGCAGCTTCAATTCGAAAAAGTGCTGCAGCCACATGGTTGCATGTTTGTGACATTCCTGCCATGCAAGTGGAATGTATCACAAGAATCTTACCAGTCTCTTTTGACAAACATAGCCATATTCTATGCATTGCATCATTTAATCTTTGAGAAGGTCTGCAGAATCCCCTCAAAAGACAAAGTTTGCTGCTTCCACAAATGTTGTGAAATTCTAATGGGCTCAGCCATCCTTGTGCATAGTAACTATATGCTTTTGAAGTTTTATAGTCACTGAGGTCATCACTAGCTAACTCACTAGGATGAAATTTTATAAAATTAAAAATGTCAGGATATAAAGTCATTGGCCAATATTTCACTGCAGATTGTTCAACCAACCAGCCCTCTGTCAGTCTTAGTGGATCTGGGATTTCAATATGCCCCACGTTGAGTTTTTCCTTGTACTCGCTATTTATTTCCATCGGCACCTCCTCTGCTGATTTTACCACAGGAACGTTATTTTCGGCTGCCACAAAAACTCTTGCAATAAGTTCAGCCTTCCTCCCACTCGTAGTCAATCCACGTAAATGCAGAAAGTCCTTCAACTCATTAACCTTCATAATCGAAATCCTGTCTAAATCCATTGTGTAGCGATAGAAGATGGCCTAACGGAGAATCCAACACGTTGAGACGGAAATTTCCTTCTTGTAACAAGGTGTTTATAATCTGGCAGAGCCAAGTACT